CTCCTTTTCCATATGGTCGTGCTATGCTCCTTTTTTCAGATATTGCAACATGAACTCAGTCCAACCCATCCCTCTCATTCATCTAGACTCAGATCCAAAGTAATCCATTCACTGCTGCCTTCCAGGTGGGTCCATCTAAACTAGCTGCCTTTCCTCACCACCCAGCTCATTCTCTGTCTCCCCACCTTTCTGCTCTTACTCGCCAGCACCTGCAACCATGTCTGGCTCATAGTCCACACTAGTCAGCCTATATTAAGTGAAAGAATCTTTGGAATAGCAAGAGAGGAGATATTTAAGTCAAGTTGTTATGGTTGGGGGAAATGTAAAAGGTCCAGTAGGATATAAATGACGTCAAGGTATGGAAGTCACGTTAGTGTGATATACCCTTCTTTGACCAGGTCAAAGGAATCTGCCTTGAACACATGCCACCCCCATCAAAGTTCTATCCTGTTTTTTACCCATTGTTTCGGCTATTTATAAGGGCTACTTACCCTAAATGAAATCATCAGTATTGTTCATTTCACTATGAGGAGGCTCTCAATTTACATGTTAGCATAATATGTTCATTGATTTCTGAATAAAGATAAGTCTAAAGTTTAATGGATCTTTGTGTTTATTGTGTACCTCAATACTGGGATTTCCATTTGGATTGCTGAGGTATTGCTGCTTTAGAGCACTTATATACCAACAACCAATTTACCTATTATCATGTTTATAAATGTTTTTAAAATCAAAGTAATCAGACATTTTATTATAATTAACTAATTAATTAATTTATATGACTTTCTCTTTCCAAGGAGGAGAGCCATAGTTAGCTAACTCATTGCTGAGTTAACTGGTACTAATGCATTGTTTATTAAAACCTACTCTTGTTCCACATTTTAAACAAGGTTCTCAGCATCTTTTTTTTGAAGTGAATATTATTTAAAAGGTAGAAATTACAGGCATTTAAAATATTAAGTGAAAGCTCCAAATCAAAAGATCTTCCATAGGCAATGGTTTCTTAAAGAACATCAAAGCTCTTCAGATCCAAATATTGGAATTGCTGTATTCACCAAGAACTGAGTGTCACACCTGGCAAACTATCAGAGATGTAGAGTTTCTGAAGATAAAGAGCAGTTGGTACATTGATTTATCCAGAAGTATTAGAGTATGCATACTATTTCACCACAGCCTTACCAGGTTTATGTTTTAACCTTTTAATATTTTTTTCATTTGTATCTGATTACTAGTTGAACATCTTCTCACACAATTGTACTCTTTCACAGGAATTTTCTATACACAAACAAACATTCTTAAGAATTTAAGAAAAGCATTTCATTAAAAATAGAGATGATATGCTCAAAAAGGCAGGTCCCTACTAGTTTATTTCTTCTTAAATAATTGAGAGCTCCCTCTCACACTATTTGGTTTCTATATGAGTGGGTGGGAGAGAGTCGAGTAATAGCTACCTGTATCCTGTTGATATCCTCACATCTACAAGGGACACCTACAAAAAAAGAAAAAATTTGGACCCTGCCTTCTCGGCAGGATCAGCCCACCAACTCCCACAGCAAGAAATTCTGAGGAGCAGGGGTCTGTGGTTGGCAGCACCACAGAAAATTTCCTGAACTAGAATTCAGAGACTTACGTCCATATTAGTTCATACATTTTTATATCTTTCTGGAATAATATGTTTTTCTACAAGGTAGAAGACTATTTAGACCTTTCTAATAACCACTTTAGACTCTTGAATAATTCAGTCTGTGATTTTCTTTTCTCTTTCACAAATATATAAATAAATAATATATTCTAGATTCCACTCCCCTGACTGCAGAGCAAATCTTCTAGTGCTCTCTTGTTTGCCATGGTCCCCCTTCCCACGATCCTTTGCATGTCTGTGTTGTCTGTTGTGTCTTCTTCATTTCTAAGTTTATTTATTTGAGTCTTCTTTTTTCTTACTTAGTCTCACTGCAGGTTTGTCACTTTTGTTTATCATTTCAAAGAATGCGCTTATGGCCCTACCCCGGAGGTGACCACATGGCAAGGCAGACCTCTCCCGACCCGCCCGCTGCTCCCCTCAGCAGTGGACTTTGTCGATCTGCCTGTTCTGCTCCCCACTCTGTCTCTGGTGAAGCCTCTCGCCGCCCCTGAGCCTCTGGCCTGTACCCCAGTTCTGTATGCACAAATAAATAAATCTTTAAAAAAAAAAAAAAGAGAGAAAGAATGAGCTTATGGCTTCATTGATATTTTATATGGTATTTTGGATGTCTGTGTCATTTATTACTGCTCTATTTTTTATTATTTTTTCCCTCTACTGACATTTCCCTCTGGCTGTTCTTGTTTTTCTAGTTCCTTTAGGTGTTTAAGATTTTTCATCATCCTTGAGGTAGTCCTATATAAACTTTCCTCTTAGTTCGATGTTCATTGCGGTATGTGGTATGGATTGTGGTATGGATTGTGGTATGTTGTACTTTCATTTTCATTTGTCGCCAGATATTTATTTTTGGCATTTAATTTCTATGCTGACCCAATAATTGTTCAGTAGCATAACATTTAATCTCCACATATTTGTGCTTTTTTTCTTTCTTCTTATGACTGATTTCTAGCTTCATGCCATTTTTAATTAGAAAATTTTGTTGATATGATTTCAATCTTTATAAATTTATTGAGACTTGTTATGTGTATTATCACATGATCTACCCTTGAGAATGTTTCATGGGCTCTTGAGAAGAATGTTTGTTCTGCTGCTTTGGGATAGAATGTTATATATATCTCCTTAAGTCCACCTGGTCTAATGTGTCACTTAAGACCATTAATTTCTTGCTGATTTTTCTGTCTGAATAATTTATTCATTGGTGATCTTAGTGTGGTAGAGTCTCCCAGTATTATGGCTTTGCTATAAATTTCTTCTTCTTCAGTTAAAATTTGCTTTATGTATTTTGGCACATATATATCTTAATATGTGTTCTTCTTCTTGATGACTTTGTTGCCTGATCTTTATATAATGTCCACTTTTTTCTCTTATTACCTATATTGGCTGGAAGTCTATTTTATATAACACAACTGTGACTGTTTCAACTTTCTTTTGGTCACTATCATCTTGGAATATACTTTTCCACACCACTTCAAGTCTGTATTTGTCCTTAGAGCTATACTAAGTACCCTGAAGTCAGAGTTTATTTTGTGTCTTGTGCTTTAATCTATCCAACAATTCTATGCCTCTGGATTGGTGAGTTCAGATTATTTACATTTAGGGTGATTACTGATTGCAGTAACCTTTTTAATGTGACAATTCTTTGGATATTGTGGTGAAATATTTTCGCTCTACATTTACATTTTTATGGCTTGCAATTTTTCTCTACAGTACCGATCATAAAATGTCATATTACTAGAGCTGATTTATGATAATTAGCTTTAAGTTAGAATATTTGAAATGCTTTAAGTTAATTTTATCTTTTTAAACAGCAAAGTACAAAAAGGTGTGTGTGTGTGGTGGTTTTTTTTTTTTTTTTTTGCATTAGTAGGTTTTCTTTATAACATCAGCCATGCATATTTAAGAATATGAAGGACTCAGGTTACTCTTATTTAAATTTTGTATTTTACAAGTGGACATACACTATTAGGCATTAGGAAATGCCTTGGAAGTTTAGGATAGAATTGCAAAAGACCCTGGAATATTTAGCATCAATCAACATTTGTTGATTATTTAACTGTCCTAAATGTGAAACAATAACAACTATTTAAATTATTCAGAGACTAGTCATCCACATCAAGGCTCTTTAGAGACCACTTCAAGAAACAGTTTGGCAGAATATTCTTTTCATATTTTTTTTTTTACAAATCCATGTACAAAAGAGGTATAAATCCATATGGAATGGATTAACACTGATTCTTTTTAAATGAAATGAAATATTTAAAAAATTCAAGTGAAGAATGCATGATCTTTTCTATTAGAGCTCTCTTTGATAATTTATTTATCTTAAATATTATTTTTGTCTTTCAGAAAGCATTATATAATAAATGTAAGAGATTTATTTAAAACCTTGCATCGTTTGAGAGTGCTTTAGTACTTTGCCTCAAAATCTGCACATAGGCAAAATTCCTGGTATTATGAGTTGGGATTTTCATTGTAAGAGGATTTAAAATTTCTACCAAAGCAAGGGCTTGTTAGCCGTGCTGAAGTCATCGATCAGAGAGACCCAGCTACTTACCAACAGCTCAAACTAAAATGGGGCAGGATAGGACAAATGAAACGAAAAGGATCAATTTGGACCAGGTGGGAGGTACCAATTTCTCTTAAAAATGGGCCTTTTATTCTAGAAAAATACCTCATCTGGCTCTAGAACCACATAGAATAATCAGAATTCACATAGGTTTGGATCTCTAGATATGAAGACAGAGGGTTGCTTTTTGAATGTTTCCACTCATTAAAGTCGTTTGAAACATTGTGTTGTAAAGAGCAAGTATTTTAGTTTTTGCAGATTTGCAGATATATAGACTCAGCTATTCTACCTGTAAGTGGGTCTCAGGCTCCTTCTTTCTTGGGGTTGGGATTGTAACATCTAGTAAGAAAAAGTGAGAATGCTTCACACAGTTCAAATCATTAAGTTATTAAAAGGCATGTTATTATTACTACCAACAATAAGAATTCAAAAAATAAGCTCAGATAACTAGCTTGCAAAATAGTCATTGAAAAATCCGAGTCAGTGAAATGTGTGGTACTTGTGATGTCCAAAATTCTTAATGTGATTATCTTCAGTACTTTCAAAGTATTGACTTCCAGTGGACACAAAAATCTGGAAAGATGACTCTACAAAATTTTTGTAAACAGTTGGGGATTTTATTGTATACACTGTAACTCGAAAGGACCATGGTTGCTTATAAAGAGATACTTGCTTTCTTGTGCAGTTTCTTGGGATGATTTATTTGTATCTAGCTGGAGGTTTGGTGATGCTCTGGGATGTGTGAGTCCAGCCAGATATTTCTGTTAATGATTTGTTTCTCTGTTTCTCTCCCAGCTATTGGCAGGACCCTCATCCCCCGTTACTTTAGCACTGTGTTCGAAGGAGGGGTGACCGACCTGTATTACATCCTGAAGCACTCGAAAGAGTCATACCACAACTCATCCATCACAGTGGACTGCGACCAGTGTGTGATGGTCACCCAGCATGGAAAGCCCATGTTCACCAAGGTACAGGGCGCCCGGAACAAGCTTCTGGGTGTGGCACAGGATGATGATTCTGGTTTTCTTTTCTTTTTTTTTTTAAGATGTATTTATTTATGCATACAGAACTGGAGTACAGGCTAGAGGTGCAGGGGCGGTGAGACGATTCACCAGAGACAGAGTGGGGAGGAGAGCAGGCGGATCAACAAAGCACATTGCTGAGGGGAGCAGAGGGCAGGTAATTCTGGTTTTCTTTTGGAACATTTCAGTACGGTGAGGCAGTATTTTTTGTCTCTGACCTCGCTAGATGCTAGCTGGGCACTGTTCTAAGACATGTGTGTATAATTCAGAGCACATGGAAGTCAAATACAAAAAAGCCTCAACACTGAGAAGACAGGTTCATCTGCCTGTTATATTCAGATTGTTCAATTAGAATTTGACTTTGATACAAAATGTCTCTCATAGTTGAAAGAGCATTCTCGTGTGGTCAGTATTTAAGTTTTCTCACTAAAATGGAACACGCTTTAAACTTTAATTCAAATGTTAGCAAAAGGGAAAAAATATCTCACTCCAGCTAAGCACTGTTAGCCTTAAGTTGTAAGGAGAATGGGTAGAGGATTGGTAACCCAATTGTTGAAGGCTCTGATAAGGATGTGAAGACGAAAACTGAACTGACAGAACAGCCCCCGTGTGTGATACATTCTCGATCCCTGCCCTTTTCCATACCAGGTTCATGGACCTAGGGAGTATTCCCACTAGGCAGAGACCTTTCTGGAACACGCTGATAATTCCTTTATATATTCTCCCAAGTTTAAAGAAAAATTAAGAAGGACAAATATTTAGTCACAGAATCTGGCAAAGGAAGGTTTAATTTTTTTTTAAAGATTTATTTATTTGTGTATACAGAACTGGGGTACAGGCCAGAGGCTCAGGGGTAGCAAGAGGCTTCACCCGAGACAGAGTAGGGTGCAGAACAGGCAGATCCACGAAGTACACTGCTGAGGGGAGCAGCGGGCGGGTCAGGAGAGGTCTGCTGCGCCATGTGGTCACCTCCGGGGCAGGCAGGGATCCAACTCATGCAGAAGTGGCTTTAGCTTCTCAGTGCTGTGCTTTAACCCGCTGCGCCACCAGGGAGGGCCAGGAAGGTTTATTTTAGTGAACTATTTTGCTGCATTTGGACTAAGATGTAATGTGAAACAAATTTGTAATATTAATGATAGCAGCTATCTTTTTTAGTTGAAAACATAAATGACAGCCCTCTCGTTGTAGTTAAGAGAAGTTGAGCTATCAGGGTTAATTGCAAAAGCCCAAATTATAAAATTGAAGATGTGTTTGTTATGCACAATTTTGCTGAGAGAATAAAAATAAGATGTTTATTATTTAAAGTATCCTTTGATCTTGTTGGAGCAGTTTGATCTTTCCATAGTGGTAAAAAAACAGGCAAAGGAAGCACTTGTAAAATACAAAAGCAAATCATAAAATGCCATTGATTTTGTCCTATCTTGATTTTGTCAATAGATATTTAAAATGTGGGACAGGGGTTGGGTTTTTTCTATTTCTCTTCCTTCCTTTTTTTAACAGCTGAACAGAGAGCAATGTTGTCACTCAGGGACAAAGAAGGTTTCCTTGCATGTGGAAGTCCCTGCTGAGAGACGGCCCTGCTAGGATCACCTGGACCAGAGTATAATCAGTCCAGATCTCACCTCATGTCTGAGAAGCAAGAGCTCTACATAATCCTGCAGATCAGAGTGAAAAATTACCCATTTCTAGTGTTAAAAAACCTTACTTAGCGCTGCAGAGAAGCCTCCTTCAATTTTTAAATTTTTTTTTAAGATTTACTTATACATACAGAACTGGGGTGCAGGCCAGAGATGCAGGGCAGTGAGAGGATTCACCAGAGACAGAGTGGGGAGCAGAACAGGCCAACTGATGAGTACACTGCTGAGGGAAGCAGCGGGAGGGCAGGAGAGGTCTGACGCGCCAAGTGGGTCACCTCTGGGGTGGGGATCGAACTCATGCGAAAGTGGCTTTAGCTTCTTGGTGCTGTGCTTTTACCCACCACGCCACCAGGGAGGGCCCCCCCCACCTTTTTTTTTTAAATCTAGAGTTAGTGTTACTTTTAGGTAATTGAAGAAAAGCACTAATTTCATTTGCTTTAAGAGGGTGGAAAGGAACTCCACGACAATTAAATACAACTTTCCCATTACCAAGGGGCTACTCCCAAAGTCACTAGACATAGAAAATAAAAATGCATATTGGAGCAGCCCATTACCTATTTCCTCAATTTCTTTCTTTCTTGGGTTCAAACTCTACCATCAGTCAGCCCAGTCAGTTGCTCTGAAGGTGAAGTATATACTCGTGGCCTAGTTAAGATCACAGGAATCCACTTCTTCTGATGAATTGATCAACTGTTATTTTCATTGAAATGACGGCACTGAATTTTCCTCTGTCGCCTTCTTCCTCCTCCTGGACTGCTCCCCTCTGGGGACTGAGCTTTTGTTCAGGCCCCAGAGAGGTCACCAAGACCGCTAATGCTCCCCTGAACTCGCCTCCTTCAGCTTCCAGCTTCAATAATTTAGATCACCCGTGGCAATACATGCCAAGTCTTGGGATGAAGATTTCCATACTGTGAAGAAAAATATCGCTTTCTGGGAAACGTAGCTCAGCTTTGTGAACTTAGTCCAGACGCTAATTATGCACATTTATTTTTAGAAACTTTGAAAGGATTCTCTTTTTTGCTCCTTGGTGGTTTTTATACTACCCAAGAATCTTTCCAATTTCTCTTTTGTCCTTAAATTAATTAAAAATAACTCATTTTTGTATAATAAAATCATATGGCTACTTAGGGTAAAACCATGGGCTAATGGCCCCTCTCTGTCACAAAGAAAATGGCTTGGACATTGATGTTTATTTCAAAAGGTTGGGCCACTCTTCGTCAAGGCCTTGCTCAGCACATTGTGTGTAGAGAGCATCATATGGTCCCAATTTAGATTATCAGTGAACTCTAGTTCCCCCAGTGGCATTTGACCAGTGGTCCTGAGTTGCTTATATGAAAATTTGGTCAACTGGCAGATCTGAAATCAGCCATGGCCCTAATCAACAGAAATAGTTAATATTCCTCTGCAGTGCTGGGTGCATTTTGCAATTTCCTGAAGTTAGTAACATTATAGATTATGGATAAATATGTAATTAGAGTTTTAAAACACACATTATGCAGCCTTTCTTTTCTGTATTCAATTTTGAATCAAATTGAAAACAAGGCTTAATACTCAGAAGAGCAATCACCCAGGTTTTCAGAATCAAAGACCCTTAAATTACATTCAAGGGTGTGAATCTGGCAATTGCCGAGAAGGGCCCTGCCTCGTGTCCACGCAGGTTACTTTTCGATTTTGCAAACTGGAACGATAATTGCAGCCATTACCAGACAGCCTCGTTGCTCTTGTAAACACAGGATTCTTTTATCCTGGCCTCAAGTATTTATTAGGAAATTATTAGACCAAGGAAACAACCACAGAAATGCTCTTATGTGAACACTCTTTCATGTCTTGACCAATTTCCCAGTCCCCCCCCTTCGTCTGTATTTACACATTTACCCCTTATCTTGAGTCTGCCCAAATTACCAAACTGTCAGTGATCCTATTACCCGAATAGGGGTATGTGTGTGTGTGTTCTCACTCATACACATGCACACGTTTAAATATGCAGCATGCAAAATACAATGAGCTTTAAGCAACTGTTTCCTAGAAAACAGCATTCCACCCAGGCTGTCCTAAGAATAAAAACCAAGACAATGAAATAAGCACTGTCCCCTAAAAAGCGCACTGTATTTCCGAAAAGTCACTTGAGAATCCTTACGCCTTATGCAACTACGTGGTCGATACGGCTTTGCAATGAGTCAGAGGAAGTAAAGGGTTAAAAGCTACCGGTGAGTTTGAGAAATGTTCTTTTTTAGTTCTCTTGTTGCCTAGTCTCAAGCCAGCACGTGACCCGCTGAATGCCTGGCAGCCTCTTTCTTGTTGATCCTCCGGAGACCATCTGTGCTGGGGGCATTGATTAGAGTGTGTCTGCTGGGATTACATCTTTTCTGTTGCCATGCCAACTAATCAGCTGATTTTGGTTACCACAGAAACAAAATGTCAGAGCTCACAGTACGGTAACATGAATTCAGCACAACAGAAAATGTTTTCTTAATTGGGGACCCTTTTGATTTTGGATTTCAAGTGAAAGGCAGCTTGATTTTTTATTTTTTTTTTAAAAAAGACCAACTTTAGATAAAAGCTTCATTAATTGTGTTGACTAATAGGAATGAACAGAATTTTTTTGGAAAAGAAAAAAAAACACTAATTTTCCTTCATAAGCTATGTTCGTTTTTGTACCATTTCCAAATAAGGAATGTGTGTGTGTGTGTGTCTGTGTGTCTGTGTATGTATTATATATAATATACGTTATATATATATATATATATATATATATATATATATATATATATATTTCAGTGCCTCTATTGCTTTTTGCTGATCATCACATATAAAATAAACTGCCAAGCCTTCAGTTTCCTTTAACTTCTGAGAACCGGGCAAGGTGAGGGTATACAGAGATTGCATAGGATTGGAGAAAGCCTGCGGTGTGATTTCTTGGGAAAACCATCAGTAACCAAATTCTCTTCCATCCTTCATTCCAGGAAGTCATTTAATGCCCTTAAAGAAAACACGTAACATGGTTAAGTCAGGTTCATTCCTAAAGGTTCTCCCCTTGCAGTGACACACACTGAGGAACTAATCCCTTAGTTTCAACTGAGAAAAGAAAAGCTCAAGACATGTTGCAATGTTCCCTTTGAGCACCAGCAACAGCTGCTGAAGGGGCAGGCCTGGGGTGTGTGATGGGTTACTTTTAACTGCAAGAAGAGTTCTGTACTGACTTACTGCACAGGAAACAAAGACCAAATTTAATTTGACCTCACAGATGCTCCAAGTGAGTAATTCTCCTGAAGGACCATGCCCATGCCTTCCCATTAGGAATTTCTATACCAGTAAAAGTAAGCCAGAACCTCCACTTGCCCTGGGTGTGGCTCATAAACAAAACAAATAAATTAGGTAATAAAAAAATGACACTTAGGGGGGCCCTCTCTGGTGGTGCAGCGAGTTAAAGCACTGCACTAAAAAGCTTAAGCCATTTCTGCATGAGTTCGATCCCCGCCTGCCCCGGAGGAAATCCACATGGCCAGGCAGACCTCCCCTGACCCGCCCGCTGCTCCCCTCAGCAGTGTACCTCGTCGATCTGCCTGTTCTGCTCCCCACTCTGTCTCTGGTGAATACCCTCACCCACTGCATCTCTGGCTTGTACCCCAGTTCTGTATGAGTAAATAAATAAATCTTTAAAAAAAAAAAAAAAGACACTTAACTGGGCTAATATTAAACATCCAATCATCCCTCTTTAAAAAAATAAATAAGGACGGTAGCACCACGTGCCCCAGCCTGTACTGCTGGCTCTACTGTCACTGGCTGGCTGAGGCTACCTCCTTTGGTGACAAAGATTTTGCTTTGGGGCCTCCATCTTGCTATCACCTCAGGTGCAACTGTTTTTAAAAGGATGCAAATTTGTCCCAATGCTATCGCCTCAGGTGCAACTGTTTTTAAAAGGATGCAAATTTGTCCCAATGCCTGAGATGCTCTAGAGGGGTTTGGAGACACCAGAGTCTTCCCGGTCTATGGCTAAGATGCCAGAAATGAGACTCTGAAGACCATTGAACTGAGGAGTTTGGGGTAAGGTGCCCACATGCCGGAAATTACCCACAGATTCTGATAATTGGATCTGAGCTAGAGGTCTTCACCCAGATTATCAATAATTATCTTACAGTGCTTCTGAGACACTTGATAAAACAAAGATGGCCGACTTAATAGCATCTTTCTTGAGCAGTTCCCTTGCAGTACTCTTTACTAATTCTCCTAATCTGGTTTACTTAAAGAAAATATTACCTTAAAGTGAAGCAAATGGAAACCCAGTGCCCAGCATATATTTGGAACTCAAAAAATGGAGGCAGTTTGGATGAAATTCCCAAAGAGCGAAATGGTTTTGGTATTTCATAATAAAAGATTAACATAATTGCTAATCATCTTCATAGACTGTAGTTTTAGAAATGACTATTATCCCTATTTAGTTTGCTGTTATTTGAGGCTTTTTAAAAATGTGCTGTACAGTGATTTCCAGTTTTATATTTGTTTTTAGCTTAAGAAATCTTTCCCCAAGGTTTGATCAGAAGCTCAATTATTTTAAAATGTTTAGTTGAAGCTGCCCTGGTTGAATCTAGAAAATGGGTGGGAAATGTCAGCACCTACATGGAGGCCAGATCTCTCCCATTAGAGTCCCTGAGACTCCTCCATGAACCCCTTTATCTCAGAGAGACAACGCCAGCATTCTGTCTTCCATCACGTCTACTTTCTCTTTTCTTCTTTTAGTACTATCATGTACTATCATCCTACAGTGCTCCAGGGACAGTGCTAAGCAGCTGACACACACAATCAATCCCCTTTAATATCTTCCTGACAACCTTACCTTGGTATCACTCATTCTCCTCATTTTGTAGATGAAGAAACTGGGACTAAGGGAATTTATCTGAGTTCCCCAACATTCCAAAATGAGTAAAACATGAGTCAGAATTCAGAACCAGTCCCCTCTGAGGTAAAACCTCCATCCAGTCTTTTCTTCTTCTTGAACAGAAGTTGTAACATTTTAGGCTGGACCTTTATTCTACCACATCTTTACATTATAGCTGAGATAGCCTTGGTGCTGTGTATGTGACTGCCTAGCATTTTCTTCCGTTTCGAAGTCCTTAACAAAAAAGACAGGTAAATAAAATAGAAACTGGGTGCTAAAAATAATCTGAATATCAAAGGAAAATATAAATGTCATGCTACTCTGCACTCTGTCAAGGAAAAGCGCTCATAAATTCTGCTTTGTTTCATTAATAATATGTTTTTTAGGAAGATAAACTTGCCTAGGCAAAATACAGTATTTTTTATCCAATCACATTCTTTGAAAATAAAAAGATAGATTAACTTGCCCCTACCTAGCCCCAACACCGAGCTGGGTCCCTAATGCAGGCAGAATTTGTTGTTGCTGATGCAAAGTGTTTCAAGCAATTTCCTCTAAGTAACCTTCTGTTTTCCCACATGTTGCCAACAGATACAAGCCAAGCCTTGAGTTAAGCTTTGCCCTTTGGAGTTCCTCTCTGAAAACAAAAACTTCTACTGATTGGGTAGCTTAGTAGGAACACATTTATCGTAAATGACTTTATTGGGTCCTTTCTCCCAGAGCAGAATAACTAAGATTAGAGCAAGTGTACAAATGCTTGCAGTAGAATGATCAAAGTAGAAGCAGAAGATGAGAGACACCATTTCCTTGGTCCACATGCGCTGGGAACTGTTGACAGACACTCCCTAGTAGATGTGTTTTGTAATCCATGTTGACAAATGAAGAAACAGGAGCTCATGTTTCAGTAGTAACTATTAGAGCTACTACTAGCTCACAGCTGTGAAGCCTTTTGAACCCGCTGATTCTGGAAAAGTCCTTAGTTCCATCATTGTCAAGGTGCAGCACCGGCCAAGGCGAGTCAGGAAGACCGTGCTGGGTGGGGGTTACCTGATTCAGTGTTCACAGACTCAGGTCTGCAGCCAGTGACCATGTTGTTGCTCATTGCAGGTATGTACAGAGGGCAGACTGATCTTGGAGTTCACCTTTGATGATCTCATGAGAATAAAAACATGGCACTTTACCATTAGACAATACAGAGAACTGGTCCCAAGAAGCATTCTAGCCATGCACGTAAGTAATCGAATTCTGTTTCTCTTTCCTTCTTTCCCCTCAGTTTCCACAAGGAGACAAAGCCCACTTAGTGCTCTCTGGGGGAAAGACTGCCACTTGTCTCCATTCTTTAGGTAATTCATTCTCAGTTTTGAGCATTTTCCCTGAACCATTTTTTTTAAAGATTTATTTATTTATTTATGCATACAGAACTGGGGTACAGGCCAGAAGTACAGGGACGGTGAGAGGATTCACCAGAGGCAGAGTGGGGAGCAGGACAGGCCAACTGATGAAATGCACTGCTGAGGGGAGCGGCGGGCAGGTCAGGAGAGGTCTGCCACCATGTGGGTCACCTCGGGGCGGGGATCAAACTCATGCCGAAGTGGTTTTAGCTTCTTAGTGCTGTGCTTTCACCCTCTGCGCCACCAGGGAGAGCCCTCCCTGCATCATTTTAATGTATGGGCTCTTTTCTCCTTTGTAGTCCTGAAGTTGGTGCCCTGTGAGACTTTTGTTTGTTTGTTTTTGGTGTTTTATTATTTTAAACTCTTAAATTCCAGTCAGTGGTTATTAAGCACTGTCCCACCTAGATGAATAAGCCTGTTTTGTATAATTGGGGAAAGAGATAAAATAAGCAAGCAAAGGTTTCCCCTATTGACCGGAGCCATCAGAGTGGGGTGTAGGCTGCTATGCCCGAATCTGCCCAGCCAAAGCTGATTCTCCCTCAGTGTGCTGTTGGGGTAAATTAGCATATTTGGGGTTCTCTGATTCCTACAGCTACAAGGTGGGTTCAGTGCCAATCTAGAGATGTTTTAACACTGAGGACGAAATTCAACCACTTACGGACGGAGAAACCAAAGGCATAATTAACTAGCCCCTCTTAGAGAATGAGCAGCCTCCTGAAAAACAAGAAGCATCTGGATTTAATAAACATGATTTTGAAGACCCCCTACTATCAAAAGCGAATAAAATAACAGTAGCTAGCATTGCCACTTGTATTCCAGGCCTTCTGCAAAGTTCCTTGGACATGTTTATTACAGGTAACCCTCCCAGGAACACAGAGAGCTGAGTTATGATCACTCCTGTTTTAGCAATGAGGTAACTGAGGCTAAGAGCAGTTCAACTGGCCGCCCAATGTTTTTCAGCCCAAAGGAGGCAAAAGTTGAACTCACCTGGTTCCCTGTGTCGCCCTAATGCTGCAGTCACGGCTCCATCATATCTGCCTCCCGAATTTTTGAGTCAAAGGACCGTTTTCAAGTCCACTTTCCATCTTCAGCTCTCCCCGAAGCCGTCTGGAGAAGCCACTGTTACTCGCAGGAGGCTGGGAGGCAGCGGAGAGCGGAGGTCAGGAGACCGGGCTCTGCGACATGTCCACTTTGGTTTATACCTTGTTCCTGTGTGACCTTGGCCAAGAGACATAACATCTCTGTGTTCCCAGTCGCCCTTCTACAAAGGAGCTACAGTCATAAAACCCGCCTCAGAGAACTGGCATGAAGATTAAATGTTAATGCACATAACACACTGAGAACAGCGCCTGGCACATAGTATTCCAGTGACTTCATTGTCATTAGCAACAGTAGCACAGGCAGCAATGGTGCCCTTCTTTTTTATTATCCTGTCTTCTGACGGCAAAGTAAGGACATAAGCAAGCCCACTTGATGTCTCTGGATGGAACTAGCTCTTCCCGGCATGGGGGAGAGGTTCATGGAACACTGGCTTTAAGTCCCAAGAAGTCCGCCCCCTCCAGAAATTGGCTTGAAACATGACAAGCTCTGTTTTCCTAACATTGTATTGAGTATTTATATAACCAAAGACAGGTGACTGTATTACATAGGGAGAATTAAATACAGAAGAGAATAAAGTGAAGTGTGTAGGTCAGCTCCAGATTGCAGACACAGAGGCAAAGGGATATTGTCTGCAAAGCCCCTCTGTTTAGCACCCATGTGTTTAAGCCAATAGGAAGAAAGGAAAACACAGAAGATGCGACAACCAGGAGACTCATCTTCAAATGGAATCCAATTTTTCGGTTCTGGAACATTCGGGGTGGCCAGGGAACATTGCATCCCTCTTTTTAATTGTGGCTGATATTCTGGAAAATGTGAGGCTTGCCCTTATGGTCCTGAGGGATGGAAATTGTTGAGGACATCTGTTTCTTGCCTCAGCTTCATGGGAGGAGAGTTAGAATTCTTATATGTGTATATATTACATGGCAGATGCAAAGTTTTCAAACAGTCCCCAACTGCAAGCTGTTACAAACAACACTATCACAAAGGAAACAAAGGCCAGCCCTACAGCAGGGCTTGCCTAAGCCAGGGTCCACCACCACCACCACCACCCCGTTCCCTGGTGAGAACCAGGGACCTGGAGGTGATCTGGCAGGCTGACAACGTGCCTGAATTCACAAGCCCTCATGGAGAAAGGAAAGTCATTTCTCCAAGGACTGACAACACTCTAAGGTAGGCTGGTTTTCCCCAGCAACAGGTCTTGCACAGTTGATCCCAAAATGTCCTTGAGTGTTATATGCACATCTCCTCAAAATGCAAATGAAATTATTGCCAGCTACCTGCATCTCCAAGAAAAATCGACAATGTCAAGATTGCTTTGCATAGCTGCTGAAGCAGTCTCAGATTTTCTTGAAACCATCTTGCAATGATAAAATACGTGATGTTGTTGTTGTTGTTTAGGCACAAGATCCTCAGGTCCTGGACCAGCTGTCGAAAAACATCACCAGGATGGGGCTGACAAATTTCACCCTCAACTACCTCAGGGTAAGACCGACGGGATGATTTTATTCCCTGGTGATTTTGAAAAGTACGTTAGAAGTTCAGTGTATCTTGAACAAAGGAGTTGAAATGGTATGATTAGCACAATATGTGTGTCTCAAGCTGCAGGGTACGGGTGGTGGTTCAGTGAGCCAAGCATCAACGCTGAGCTTTGTCAGGGTTGATCTTCCTCTGGGCCTTTATATAATCTTTGAAATTAATGATTACAAAAACTAGCAATAGCTGTCTCAATTGCTTTGGCGCTGTTTCCCTCCCAGTTATCCAGTCTCCAATATGCTTTTGTTGAGCTCCTGAACTCTGCGCCGCCACCAAGGGACCAGTCGTCCCTGGGAGCATCACTGTACCTCCCGAGGGAGAATCCCCTGGAGAAATTGGACCCGAAGCTCTAATGCAGATGTTCCTACAGCCTCATAGGGGTTCTCTGTGTAAGACACAGCCCATTCTTTTCGCTTGGTTGTGAAGTCCGTTTTTATTTTAAAAAGTTAAGTACTGTAGGCAAAAAGCTTTGCCCACATAATACTTGGATCCTCTGTATATGCTAACAGGAAGCATATATCACACTTGCTTTTAGCGTGGAGCTGCAGATGTTATGCTACATAGAGGACTGGTCTCCTTCATAAAGCAAGGATTGTCCTGTAGAATCAACGAGAAAGCAGTGGCCACGTTCCACATTCCTTTGCTCTGAGTAGCTGTGCTCTTTCATTGTTCCTTCTCCAGGACCTCCCAACCCCATCATAACATTTGCGCTGTTACGTTATCCTTAAGTGCTGGTTTGTGAATTTTGTTTTGTGTTCATAATCCTTGGTGTACAATCAATTCTGCATGTGCTGAAATGTTTTGGCTAGGCTTTCTCTTGTGTGAATTAAGAATGACTTGGGCAAAGGTTTCCAAGCCCTGTACATGTTGCGGAGTGCCAGAACTAAAGATGCAGAGACAAAAGTCATGGTATCTGCCAACACTAAACCTCATTCTTAGAGAGACCCATTAAGAGAGGAAATGATATTCCAAGTGGTAAATACCATGGCAGAAGTTCCCAGAAGGAATTATGGGCATATAACGCAGAAGGATCAGTCAGAGAAGGTTCCATGGAGGTGATAATGCCTCGATTGTGTGTGAAAAAGTAAATGAAAGTAAACCAGAGGCAGGGGTCAGGGAAGACATTTCCATTAGTAGAGGGAAAAGGAGCTTGGGTTGTATCCAAGCAGTTTTATGATTCTGGGACAAGAACTGAGAGGCCAGGAAGATTGAGAGCAGTTAGTTGGGAGCCCAGTCTTGGAACAACCGACCGGTTGAGGAGCCTCTGAAAGGATTAAGTAGAAGAGCGGCCACATCCCCTTCCTAGTAGAGGGAGAAACGTCTTTTTCCATGCAGTCTAGATACACCCAAGCCAAAGCAGGCAGACAACCAAGACGGGAGTCAGCTTCGCTCCCACCACATCACCCACAACCCGCCATATTGGCAACCCTGAGCTAGGTGTTATCCAATGAAGAGACTTTGGCCGCAGCTGAGAGGCTAATGTGTAACCATGGCCTGTGGGATGTCCAGAGGCTGGGGGACACTGAGATGAGTCATTAGAGCTTGCTCTCTGGACCCCTGCATGCTGAGCTGGCCCCGGTGAAGCGGCTGGATCCTGGGAGATGTAGCCAGGTCCCAGGAAGTGAACTGTGTTCCATCACGTGGGTTGAGAAGGCTGCTCTCTATGACTGTGCACTTCATCTTGTCAGGCACTGTGGGGACTTTAAACAAGTAAAGACCCCTCTCAAGCAGATAAAGTAGTTCCAGACTGTGTGTGCTCAGCTGATCACCCAAGGGACACAGGACTTTAGAGCCTAGACGTGGGCATTCACCTTCTGACGAGATTCTTTGTTCCGTGTTTTAGATGCATTTAATGAAGATCGATAAATGACAAATTTCCTTCTTCATCCCCTTCCCCACTCTGGTGATTGTCATCAGTAAGATGATGATGACCTTGACTCTGAGGAAGACAGAAGGTCATATCTGCAATGAGGGAAGAATGGTGCCAACTGCCTTCTAGACAAGGTTTCAAGGCACACACAGGGGCTTGCTCAACACAAGACAGAGTCTCAAGCCTGCCGCTTAAATGTGGGCGGGCCATGTGCTGATGCCCTGACCCAGCTAGTGCCCAGAGCAGCCTTTGCACTAGCCCTGTGCTTACGGTGGGGCATAAGTCAGTCTCCCTGCTGTCTACTACCAGGGGCATCAGGCTTGAACACAGGCAGTCTGCCCCAGAGTCCCTGTGCAGAACTGCTATCTTTCTAGGAAGAATGTAGACTGGTGATTCTCATAGGACTGAATCATGTCTTTCCTGCCTTGATGTGGGAGGAAACTTAGTATCCACTCCTGGTCTATTATTCACTTCGCTAAAAATAATATTAGCTCCCTGTAAGGTTTAGCCTGAGGATTATGTGAGGTAATCCCTGTAAAGGTCCTAAGAACAGGAAATGTTTATGTCATAATTCATAGTGTGCCTGCTATGCGTTGGAGCCACTAAGTGCAATATGGCGTCAAGCTCTTTTCTCTCACTCCGGCTCCACCCAGTGCTACTTCATTTTCCCAGCTCATATGATCTTGATCAAGGGCTATTTGCCTTTTCTGCCTCCAGTTCTTTCTTTCTTTGTGCATTTGGTCTTGTATCCATCACTTGCTTGGTTCAGGATACTCTTAGCTTATCGCGTCCACACCATCTTCCTCATGGTGTGCAAGTGTGAGGTCTTCTCCATGGAGATGTGAACTCCCTCCTGAAGTAGTACTCCCAGACCTGTGGGTGGGCCAGCTACCTGTCCAGGTATGTTGCTTGGAGAAGGGATGTACAAGGTCCATGAGAACCAGAGGGGAGAATCCTTGGAGCTCAGAGAGGGACTTGGGGAAAAGCCATGGCTACTCAGTCATAATGGAGCAGAATCTGAAGCTCAGAGCCCAACCTGGGACCTGGCCTGGTCACTAAGACTGACACATATGGTCTCTTGGCTCACAGCTGAGATGGAAGATGTCCCTAGCACTCTTAGCCTCTCTTCGTCAGGAAAAGGCAGAGCTGAGCCAGCACACATTCACTGACAGAATCAGAATCACTCTAACTCCTGATACTCTCCCATCCTTCTGCGGGACCCAGGCTTTGTCTTGACCCTCAGACCGTCATCTCAGGTATGGTTTTAACAGAGTTCTTAAGGAGTTTTAGCAGCTAATTCCAGGATCAGAAAAAAGTCAACTGGGTAGGTGGACCCGAGCTGCTCACAGGTCTTTTAAATCAGTAATTTTTATAAGTTGATGCACCTGCTTTTGTAAACACTGCCGTTTCAATAGGTGTGTCTTTCCTGCAGCCAAATTAAGCATGCAGAGAGAAAGCTGTTACAGTCACCTAGTTTCGTCACGAAGGTTCATTTATTCCCATGGAATGCAGGGGCCGGGGGTGACAGTGCAGGGCTGAGAGAGGCTCTGGTAACAGAGGCCTCTCTGGTAACAGGGGCCTCGGAGCTTGTGAACAGTTGATGAAGGCTATCTCAGCTGCTTGCTTGGCAGCTCTTGTTTTTGGGAGGGCGGGGGTGCCTGTGACCTGATGATTCTGAAATGATAACATAACAGCTGCCGTCTTTTGATTCGATATGTCCAAATTGCTCACTGTTCCCTACCACCTTCCCATCACCTCTCAGCAAAACAAGGCCAGAAGAGTTCTGTGCTCTGGGGTGAGAAGCCTGAGTCACATCCTGGGGGGTTCTGGAGACAGAGGCTGTGAAACCCAGGTGGATTTCTGATGAGGGGCCCTCTCACCAACCCTGATGGTGGGCTGAGCCCTTTGGGGAGTTGACTTGGTATCTCTGGATGGGGACTAGGGATAGGCCTGCTGGCTGCAGAAGCATTGCCGTGGCAGTTAGGCATTTCCTCAACATGTGTACACCATCTCCCAAGGAGAGATGACTTCCTAGTCTAGGTGATGGCATTCCTTGTTCCGTGCATCCCAGCAAGGGAGCTGGAGACCAGACTGGGGAGGAGGAGCTAGGAGCTCAGAAATGTGTCCTTTGTCATGTTGCTGGAGAGTAGTCCCCTCGCATATCAAGAAGAAATCTGATGCAGGGACCACAGGAAGGCAGGGTGCACTTAGAGTGGTATAAGCCATCCTTGTGAGCAAGACTCGGCAGTGGAGCTTTGTCACTTCCCAGTGGCCCCTTTTCGCTCACTGCTCATTTCACAAGCCTGTAGACATGGTCTCCATGCCTGACCTCTGCCCCCTCCAGAAGTTTGCTCCAAGTAGGTCACAAAGAAAAGCGACCAAGTAGGAGAGGCATCTGGTGCAGACACAGTGATGAGTGCGATGGCCGTCATGTAGGGAGCACCTGCCATGTGTCACTCGCACGGGTAGTTAGGCCACATCCTGCTGCCCGGGGACCTGAAGATACTACTGCAAGTAGGTCTGCTCCGGTCCACTCTAGCCACCCTCAGCTGGGGCCCCAGCTCGTCTGGGAATGGTCCGGCTCTGAGTGACCTTGAGGATGCCCCATCCTTGCTAGTGTCTGCAGATGAGTGAATTGGACCATTCAGCTTCCGGTGCACCTGCTGCCCCACTGTGTCCTCCTGCCTCGGTGCTCCAGACCGTCGGTGATCGGCCTCTGCTGCCTCCCGGTCCCGTCCTGCACCCTGCCCACCCGCAGCCAGGCAGACCACCTGAGTTTCCCGAATTGGCCCTGCTCTTTTGTCTCCGAGTCTTGGTGGGATATGGCTCCCTGACCCCACCTCCTCTTCCCAGCCCACTTCCCCACCCTCTTTCAGCCTTCAAGACTAATTCACCTGCCACCTCGTTTGACTCTTAAAGCTCTCAAATGGTGCGGGTACCCACCGGCCCCCTGGAGCTCCTTATACATGGTCCCTGCTTAGCTCTAGCAGATCCTGGGTGAGAATTATCCCTCCAAAAGAGGGGTGATCCTGTCCCTCAAACCACACAAGGTGTTTTGCATCTCTCTCTCTCTCTCTCT